TTGATTGATGACTTTTCTAGCAGAGTCAGACGGCAATGTTCGTATTTATTGACTCTTCAAGCAGTGCTATTCACATAATCCATGCACTTTTTCGCGATCGGTTCTCTCCACTGCACAAATTTTTGTCCAATCCTTCTCAGGTACCCCACTACGAACCAGGGATTGCCACGATCATCCGGATTCAGTCAAGTAGACCCCAAATATAATATTCCACATACTGTTCCCCGATATGCCATGGTGTCGCGGCACGAGGCAGGCGAAAGCACGTATAGTCCCTTTATATCCACGTACATACTTGATCTACGCCCGTGATTAGGTTGTTCCGTTGGCACCAATCGTCAGATCAATCAATGGCGTGCATCTTCGTCATTGTCCTCGTGTGCTTCTGTCAGCTTCGGTAGATTAAGAGAGCTGGCAGGGAGGCTGGACTGAATAAGAGGAAACGACAGTGAGGCGTATGTATAGTACTATCTAATCAGAAAAAAAGTTGCCTCGTGGCTACCTCGTTTTTGATAACATAAGTGCGTCGGCAGAGTTGGTGCGTTTGCTGATGTGTCGTGGATTAATAGGTAATTAGATGCATGCCATTGACCACGCGTGTTTGAAGCCTGAATCCTAGTCTGGCAAGGGCCCCAGGCGGCGTCGCGGCTCAGCTCTTCGCTTCCTCCGTGACGCATTATCACCGTGATTGAGATCAGTCGATGACCGCTTTGTCCTCGAGTCATCCCCGAATGATCGAATGAATAGGAAACCCCATATCGGCAGTGTATTGTATGATAATGAAAGAGTCTATGATCACTTATCGAAGGCGTGAATGGTTCAGCCTCGCCGGCGATATCATGTACGCTTTGTCCATTGTCTATTCGAAGATCAGGATATGTTATGATTCATAGACCTTTACCTGTCTTGTTTGACTCCACAACATAAGAGCCAGACATTTATTTCCGTGATCCGGGGCGTCACATCAATATAGACCAATGTACATCATCATCGTATGTCTCCGGATTTCGTCCCGACATACGAAGCGGGAGCAAAATGTGCAAAACATGAAGCTTGGAGATATTCGCGGACCGCTTTAGCCGATATCCCGAAAGACGGGCGTGTCCGGCAATAAGATGAGCCGCATTTTAGCCGTCAGTTGTTCAGCGACCCTTGTACATACCTCCATGTCCGAGGACAGCTTCGCGTGTAAAAGGAGTGGATAAGGTCCGAAGGAGACGTCAAGTCATGGACTAACCGTTGTCCCCCAAGTCGGGATCCGCGTTTCACGTCCCCGAGCGTACAGCAAAGAGCGTAAGTAAGGCTAGGAACGATACGGCATTCAAATCAGATATGACGCACTTTAGACTGTGGGGAAAGTAGTTATGCTCCGCGCTTTGGTGACGCGTGGTTGAAATATTCTGACGCCCGAGTTGTCTCACTGTGGTATGTATTTATCCCACCGAGTGTTGAGTGGACCGGGGATGAGTATAATTATATCCGCGGTGAAGAGTTTGGAAAGAAGCATTGTGCGGGACACGTGTTCGGTCGTAAGGGACAGAAAGCGGAATTGGACTGCGTTGAGCGGGATGGAGTTCCCTCGCCCATCCACCAAGCGACCTGCAAGTGAAAAATATTCCCAGATTGTTGGACACATTGTAGCGGGGTACACGTGCTACGAGAGAGGGCAGGGTGGAGGGAAGATGTACACCGTTTCTGGAGGCGGGGCTAGATGGTGTGATGATGTTCCGTCTGGCGATTTGTTGGAGGATGGGTGTAAAGCGAGTAGTGATTGTACAGGAAAGTGGGGTAAATGACAGCAGGGTCCTTAGTATCCGGATGACGTCGTTGACGTTGCTGTGCAAGTGTATGAGCCGTACTAGACGGGCGGGGCAAGGGCGAGGGGTGATTTTGATTGGTATAGCGGAGATGAAAAGACAGTAAAGACTTTCGCTGTGAGTTGAGCGGCACTATGTTCACAACCGCAGAACGACGAATATTGCATAGCCACCCCGCAGGTCTCCGTAGAATGCGACTGGACCTTCCTTTCCCTCGAAATATGAAGTCGAGTCAATCTGCATACCTGCCAAATTGAGCGTGTGATACGAGTTACCGGGTCTTGAATGCCTTTAATGGAATCTTTAACGTCGAGGAAGAGAAACCGAGAATAGAACGTCGACATGTGAAAATTTGAAGGGTCGGTTATACTGACGTTATGGTAAGGTATGGCAGAGTATGGCCAGAGCAAGTTCCGTGAATATTAAAGATGTGATATTAGGATGGGGACGCTGAACCAAAGGTACGGAACCGTCGGCGGAGGGTGACACATGATGCCGCGGGTCGAGTTTCTGCGTGAGTATAATCGAGTCAAGAGTGAGGGAAAATGGGGTCAATAATCTGTGATAAGATATGGGACATCGCCGGCCGATTAGCGGCTTAAAGACAATAAGAAATGTGTTTATGCGGGTGTGGTATAACTAGAGATATGCTTCCATCTCATTGTTTCAACCTAATTCGGTATACAGCGAAATGAAAGTATCTAAATCAGGTCAAATCGCATTACTTCAGGTTTTGAGTTCAACGGAACTTTTGAATGTTCGATTTGATCATTGGTATATAACGGGCGGTCCGTATTGTTTTCGCTTTGTGTACCCCACTCGCCCAATTGTTACAAAGAAAAACAAACGCGACACCTATTATCCAACTCCCCCCCTCGCAAGTCATTGTTCACTAGAACAATCATGCACGATACCCCTTCTCAATGTAAGATTCATTGTACTCAAAGGTCACTCATACTAATCACTAACCTATACAGCACTTGAGGTGATCACCGACACCATCCAGCCACCTACATTGGCTATCATTTCTCCGACGCCGCGCGCCTTTACTTTTCCTTCAAACGAATCCGGTCCTTACTCGTCCTCTCTCAATTCCCCTTTTGAGCCAGATCTCAGGAAGCTCACGCTCACTCCTACACTCCTTCGAACCCTCTCCCCTGTTTCACCCGCATCATCCACTTCATCAGGATCAACTTCAGTCTTTTCCTCCACTTCCTCATTCCCAGCCTTATCATCCCCAACTTCGCATAAACGCCGCAAATCCTCAATATGCAGCGACATCGAACGTAGACCAAGAAAGGGCGATGAGGACTATATCAAGCGCCCAGAAAACGCTTTCATCCTCTTCCGTAGGAAGTGTTGCGAGGAGCGTCAACAAGCTCAAGACGAAGCTGCATCATCCGCATACGCTGATGCACCTACAAAGAAGCAACGTCAGGCAGATCTGTCAAAAACGATCAGTCAGCAGTGGAAGGCACTTTCAGCCGAGGAGCGTCTCTACTGGGAAGAGCAGGCAAAGGAAAAGAAGAAGGAGCACGAGCAGATGTACCCAAATTACGTTTATCGTCCCCAACGATCAAAGGATAAGAAGGGAAAGAAGAGCAAGCGAGGCGAGTTTGAGCATGAGACCGATTGTGAAAGCATCTCCTTTATGCTTCCATTGTCGCCTCCGACTGTCATCAAGCATGGCCGTTCTGCATCCGCTCCTACTCCTCCTCCCGGTCGCCAGACGATTCAGGTTCCAACCGTCTACATGCCTTCATGCCCGACATCGCCGTCGCTGTTGCCAATGATCAGCCGTCGCTCGTCGCATCCGGACCATGGAATAAATTCGTCAGCGTCCTTTGACTTCTTGCCCAGTTCCCAACAGCAGTTCTCGCAACCTAGCACATATATGTCAGGTCTTGATGTGAGTACCCGATTAACCTGCGCACTCGAGTCGAAAAACTGACGACGCACCAAGGCCAATGGATTCTACCAGGGAATGTTCGAAAACCCCTCAGCGCCTCATCCTCTGTCCATTTCCACAGACATGTCCATGCTACACAGTCACCAGATGGTTTCACCAGCATCGTCAATAGCATCCTGTCATCCCGGCCCTTACACGCCCGCAGATTGCATGCCTCCCACGTTCTCCTTCCACGAGGCCCCTCTAGACAGCGCAGCCTGCATGCCAGAAGATTCCCCCATGTCTGGATCCCCCCTCGACAACGTCCACTTCGGCTACCCAGAGTCCTATTCCTGGGAAAGTCAAGGCGCATGGGAAAGCCACGGCGACCTCCTCGCCGGAGACGAATTCGACTTGAGCGCAATCCCTCCGATTCAACTCGGTATGCCAGGACTCGGATGTGGAGGAGAGCTGACAGCGACGAACATGAGCCATTCATTCAATATAGACTACTCGCCTGGTTCGTTTGACGCTTCGTCCATGGACGCAAGCCAATATCCGCTCGAGGCACAAGGACACGAGACATTTGAGCAGTTGTTCAATTTTGAAAACATGCTCGTGACATCAACCGCTTTCTGATTGTTCAACCGATGTATGCTGGCGTCATCGGCCATTTCATTCCTCATTTCACTTTTACACGGACACCTGTAAAAACACTACTCAGTCAGTCACTGCATCTACGACCACGCAGCTCACCTCACCTCACCTTTTCTCCCGTATTAAGCTAATGCTCCATCTCGATCTTGGTTTAGGTTTTTGGTTTTGTGGATACGCTCTTGTTGTTGAATTAACTGTAGTCATACGTACGTTTTTTTTATGTGCATACTCATCACCACGCACAATACCCCTCGTGCGCTACCACCCTCCCTCCCCCTCATTTATGTCCGCTCTTGACGATTTTACGTACCCCCCCCGGAGTCCAGCGAATACCACACGCACGTCACGAAGATACCCTGTTGTTGTAGCTGTAAAAATTACTACGGTTGTACTTACCTACAGAGTTGCGCAGCAGAATATAGTCTTTGGAGACATACCGCCGCCGTGCGTTGTGCTGAACGAAAGGTTTTTGTGAGGAAATGTGACTTGGAGTGGTGGGAGGAAGAAAGAGGGGACTGTGATTCTCATGAATTGTCGCACTCTGAAACTTTTGCAAAGGTACACGTAGGTGTTTTATGATACATGAGGTGTCCACGGAGACGGTTTCCTCAGAAACGTGTCAACCCTAACCCTAAGATGATGTTTTAAGTACTGACAATTCGATGGACTGTTGAGATCTCGAGACTTGGAGAAAAGTTTAGCTGTACACGTCGTGAGGCTCCGCTCGTGACATGAACGGCCAGACTTTTCTAATATTATGATAGGACTTGCTTATAGTTAAAGTTAAAGTTAGAGGGCGGCTCCGTAGGGGGCAAGGCAACTTGGGGGAGAATTCAGGTTGTGTGCAGCCTCCCAATTTCAGCGCACGAGGGGAAAAAGTGCCTCTTGTCAGAGTAGCTGGCTGGGATGAGAGGATTATGCGACATCGGTAGGTAGGTATATATACGTTGTCGATCTACCCGAGCACGAGCTGCATGTGAACGAACGAACGTCGAATACAAAGGGTTGGGTAGCACCGTAGCACCGTAGCACCGTAGCACCGTAGAACACCAGACACCACTACATAATCGTCGACGATCTCCACATCCATGATTTTGGGGATCCATAGATATCATGATGTAGAGGGCGGACACGCATGAAGGAGTGGGAACCCGGGTATCTCTGGGTCTTCCAGTCTCATGCGCGGCCGCCCAATTTCAGTGCACAAGGGTAAAAGGTAGACTCGTGATCAGTCCTTCTATGGACGGGTCGAACGGGTTGTCTCTCGTCTCTGGAGGGACTGGTCATGGGTCTAGGTAAAAGTGCCTCTTGTTAGAGGAGTTGGGTGGCGGGAGGCGACAAGGAGAGCTTACTGAAGTGGCGATATAGGTATATATGCTGTCGGAAGTATCCGAGCAGGAATGCATGTCAAGTTGCGAACCATCTGGTATTTTGGGGGAATATAACAGAATACAATCTACATATGACACACTAAAACCTGCCAGTCTTCGATGATCTTTCATTCAGGATAATTCAGAGGATCAATGAGGGGCGTTTGCATTGGGGCTCTCCATATATAATCAGAATGAATGGGACTTCAAAGCTTCAAAAACCCATGCATCGCTCCCTCGCTCAGACTATGACCCGTAACGTCCGCACTCGAGTTCAAGCTGATAACGCACCAAAGGCTAATGGATTCTACCAGGGGATGTTCGAAAACCTCTCGGCACCCCATCCTCTATCGATTTCCCTTGATATGTCCATGCTTCACGTTCACCTCGCCAGCATCGTCAATAGTATCGTGTTCATTGGATGGTGTAGGAATCACACCGCTCTCAAACGCTGATACCGAATTAGAAATGGACTCAGCGAGCATGGAAATAGGGCTCGCGGTGTGCTGTACAGTGCATGCTTGAGATGATGTCATGGTCATCAACTTGAAGTCTTCGGCCTCGTCGGGTGACCGCCCCGCACTTTACATAAATAAGGATGAACGTGTTGACTAGATTCAAATAAGAGATGAGTGACACAGTTCGGAATTCGATCAATTGATATATGACCATTTGAAATCAAGGGCGGCCCTTGGACTTATTCCTGTCAGCGTGCCTGTGTTTGAGGTAAGTATACCGGAAAAGTCGTTCATTGACTTGAAGCTTGAAGTACGATACGCACGTAAGGGCAAGCACTGAGTACTGAACGTTGACTACTCATCGCGCTTCGAAAACTTTCACTTTGGAAGTTCTCCCCAGATCTTCGGGCGTGCGCAGACCTGTACATATCTCACAAGTGGTTGCAAAATTCAGATTGACATCATGATTCAAGACCTACCTTGGAGTCTTCAGCCGCTTTCCAGTACGTCTTTACAGAACCGATGTCGAACGTCACGCTGAATGTGTAGTAGTAAGAGTCCAAACTTGCTATGCCAGTCATGGTGGGGATGTTCGAATAGGAGAATCAGAGGCAATATGAAGGGGACGTTTGATTGGTCTTTTGTGCGTTTTCGATGACCAAACAACATGCACACGAGAGGGAGTGTCGTAAGGAGCGCCCGGATACGAGTTTCATCGACTCTTGCACGACAATGGAAGAGGGAGTAGATGCTCTGTTCCAAGTACTACTAGTATGACTCGCGTTTGTGTCTACTTAGTTGCTTATGGTCCGAATCGCTACAAGGGTAGGGGTACCTCTTGGTATTAGAGTAGCTGGGATGACAGGATGATGCGATATAGGAAACGAACGAACATCGAAGACGAAGGGTTTGGCAAAACACTAGACGCTACATACATGGTCTTCTACGGTCTCCAATTCGGAGGATCCACGAGGAGCGTTTTGGCGCTGCTATAGAATGAATGTGGCTTTCCTGAAATTATAGGGATAGAGGGCGGAATCGCATGAAAGAGTGGCAACCCAGGTATCATTTGGTTCCACTTCCCGTGCGTGGCCGCCCAATTTCAGTGCACAAGGGTAAAAGTGCTTCTTGTTAGAGTACTTAGCTGGGATGGCGGGAGACGACAAGGAGATTGCAGTACGATGTGGGTATATATACGCTGTCGGAACTATCCAAGCACGAACTGCATGTCATTGGTCAACGAACCGTTTGGTATTTTGCCAGACAATGTTCCAACATTGCTAAAGAAATACCACACGCTATAAAGTAAAACCTGCCAGTCTTCGACGGTCTTCATCCAGGTCCACAATTCGGAGGATATATGAGGGGTATTTGCATCGGAGTTCCTCCATATATACAGAATGAATGGGAGTCGAATATATAGTCCAGGTCAAGGAGGGAGAAAGAAGGTAAAGGGAGGGCGCGGGCAAAGCTAGGAAGTAAACTCCCACGGATCCGATAACCGCCTGTGACAAGCACAGCAAACGCCTACCTCGTCTTCTTCACAACCCCATGTCGCTCCCTCGCTCAGACTATGACCCTCGCAGGGTATGTTTAAACCCATTCCCAGATCTCAACTTAAACTTGGGAAAACATCGCCGAACTGTTGGCATCTACCTCGCAGGCGCTTTGGTACGCCTGCTTCCTCAAAACCAACCCATCCTGATGCTAACCGCATGCCCCTCCGCAGTTCGCACTTGCAAACTGGACTTTCCTCGACGCTGCTATCTTGTCTGCACATGCCCATCCACCTTATGAGGATCCTCAGATCCCACCTCCCGTGCATGTGCAGTTCGTTGATTGGGTGCCAGGATTCTGCTCGCTCCTTGGCATGGTTATTATCAACTTGATTGACAAGGATAGGATTCGAGGAGATGGTTATGGTGATTCTACGGCTGTGTGGAGGGCACGCCTTTTCTTGTTCATCGGGTTCGCTTTCATGGCTGGCGGACTGGCGGGGAGCGTGGTAAGCCTTGACTTTTTTGTTTGACGCCACCGGATACTCAATATCTCGTCTAGTCTCTTCTCGTGCTTAAATACGTCATGATGGACTACCCCGAGCAGTACACATACTATGGCTATGCAAACGTATCGCAGAATGTGGCCTTGATGCTGTCGGCGGTTGTGCTCTGGATCGCACAAAGTGCCCAGACTGAATATGATTATAGCCTTACGCTGTAGTAACAGAGACAACTTCATTATGTTGTTGAATTTTTCAGTGTAGCTCTCAATGTGTATCTTTCTTTTGCGGCTTTCTCGCGGGTATGATCTACTTCTGCCCTAGCCAGATGTTTAGAAGAAAGAATATGTAGTCGTTCCTTTTGACACAGCTTCCGAGCGGACATGTACCACCCCATCATGAAAGTTATGTATTACGCTGAGGCATACTTTTTTTTTGGCAACCTGTGAACACTTGATAAGAAAAGTATCAGCAATTGCAACGTATCTCATGTACGCACCAGTCGAGCTTCCTCGGCATCGTATTTCTGGCATGAACTAGTCAATATCGAGGGCAGGATATTACGCGACGTAAATATGATGTTAGATCTCCGCACTAGCCAATAAGTCATCTGTCGAACGCATTCCCGTGAAAAGTATCACGGGGATACGACGGGGAACTCCAGCAGAAGCAGAAGCACTGCCGCCCGTATGATTGGTCGTTTAGGCAAAATGGTCTCGTCAAGATTGTCGATGTCGGGGATTCCAAATGGAACTAACCTACGATGAGGCAGACTCTGATCAATCTGTAAGCTCTTGCTAAGAACAATATCGACAACAGTACTCACGAGTCGAGCTACATCGTCATCATGAGCTAATCACACAATGGTCTTGTCAAGATTGCTGATGCCGATGATTTTTCATGATTGTCGGTGTGTCGGACGTTTTCGGCAATCTGTAAGCATTGATGAGAACAGTATCGACAACATATCTCATGCACTCACCAATCGAGCTGCCTCGTCATTGTATGGCTGGCATGAACTAGTTAGAGGAAGTGAGATATCTTGCCTGACGTTGATAGCGCTAGATCTCCGTGGTAGCCGGAAAGGTCATCTGGCGAACACATCCATTTGAGAAATGGATCACGGGGATGAGATAGACGGAGGACTCTCCACCAGCAAGAGCACCGGCGCCCATGAGCGTGGTCATCCACAATGGTCTCGTCAAGATAGGCGGTGTGTCGGAGGTTTGAAATGGACCTAACCTACGATGAGGCAAGGTCTGATCGTACTGTTTTCAACTACTTGCCAGCATATAAGAGCAGTATAACAACGTGTTTCATGTACTCACGAGTCGAGCTACATCGTCATCATGAGCTAATCAATATAAGCGAGAGCAAAATATCTTACCTGACGTTGATATGATGTCAGATCTTCGTAGTAGCCAAAAAGCGATCTGTCGAACGCATTCATGTGATCGACTTGTCCCCAGAAGAAGTCACTCCGATGAATCCGATCGACGGAGGACTCTCCACCAGCAAGAACACTGCCGCCCATGTGTGAGTGGCCATTACAATCGTCTTGTCGATGCCCATGTTTTTCAGGTTTGTTGGTGCGTCGGACGTTTCAAATTGACCCAACCTACGATGAGGCAGACTTTGATTTTCGGCAATCTGCAAGTTGTTGCTAAGAACGGTATCGACACCATATCTCATGTACTCACTAGTCACGCCACCTCAACATCGTATCACTGGCATGAACTAGTTAATATAAGTGAGAGTAGGTTAACTTACCTGACGTTGATGGTGTCAGATCTCCTAGTAGCCGGAAATGTCATTTATCGAATGCATCCCTTTGCCGATTGCAATTGGCAATAAACGGAGGTTTTTTTGTTCTTGTTCTTGTTCGTTTTGTTTTGTCAAACAAAGACAAACAATAACAAAAACAAAAAAAAACCAGTAAGAGCACTGCCGCCCATCGTCGAGATCGATGATTTTTCACGACTGTTGGTGCATGTCAAAGGTTTCGGCGCCTTCACGTTTTTCAAAAAAGAAAAATCAAAGTCCTCGCTGTCAGATTCACTGAGCTGCCGTTTAGGTGTGGAATAATGACATGGTGAGGATGTGAGTTCCTGGAGTTAAATCCACTTACAGAGTCAGAGTCGAGTGCGCAGTAGACGCGGGGATATATATATGTGACGTGTCTATCAGAATGTTAGTTCGTAGAGGTGCAACTGGCTTGACGCCCAAGGTATGGTCACTAACCGATTTACGCAATCAAATCGCCGGCATGGTAGTCTTTTGAGACTCGTTGTGCTTGAAGCCGTTTTTTTCCCTAACAAAAACTAGCTGACCACGTAAATGTGGTGGTGTGATTGTTTCTACCTACCGAAAAGAAGAAAAAGGCGTACCTCGCCATCGTATGACTGGATTTCCCTGGTGTTTATCTGGCGTTAGATCACCGTAGTAATTGAACTGTACCGTTCGCCATGACCTGCCTGAGACGTAGCGCAGGTAAGCTGAGTTACTTCTCGCAGCATTGATCAATATTCACAAGTCAGGTTACCGGCCTAAGCAGGCCATTTCATGTTGTTTTCAAAGCAGCACACCACTCCTTTGCGAGGGTTCAACTCGCTGTCGTGCGGAAACATGCCACTCGTGGCACTACAAGGAGGCACATCTGCGCAAGATGCTTTTTCCTCCTTGTGGACACTGTGCAGTGCGGAGCGCCAAAATCGTTTTTGCTGAACGTTCATTGGACGATATGCGTTAAACGCAAACAAGAGCGTTGACTTGGGTTGTCTGGGGCTCGCGCCCAGACCGAGTCTATATAGCGAGGAGAAGCGTATGAATGCAACCGACTCACTGATATTGCAATTATGCTTGTTTGGAGAAATCATGGGCGACATCGAAACTTGATGGCCATGATGGTAGCGATGCAGATGATCTGCAGATCTGACTCTTCCTCCAGTGGTCACAGCTGGTATTGCGCGCTGAAAAAAAGAACGAGGTTGCGATTATGCTCGTTGGAGAAATCACGGTGGGCGGAAGACGTTGAGACTTGATGCATGATGGTAGTGATGCAAATTTGACTTCTCTTGTCCATCTGACATCTGGTTTCGCGCCTTGAACAAAAAAAACAAGCTGGTCGGAGTAGTAATCATGGTGGGTAACGTTGAAAAAAGTTGATGGTGGCGGCGGCGGTCATGATTTGAATCGTGACTGTGGCTCTTCTGCCCGATCAATGAAGTTCCAAGTATCGATTGTGGCCTAGAAATGAGCTGGTTTTGCGCGTCGAACAAAGGAAGGAGCTCATCGGAGTAGTAATCACTGTGGGCGACGTCGAAAAAAGTTGATGGTGGTGGCGGTGATCATGATTTGAACCGTGACTGTGGCTCTCACTTATCCGCATTCTGCATCAACGATTTGGTCTAAGTATCGATTGTGGCTTAGAAATGCCTGAACAATAGGTTGGTTCTGGCTTAAAAGCAAGCTTCAATCTGCACTTTCTTGTATCCAACGAGTTCACTTTTCTTTCCTAACAGTAGCATGGCCAATGCTGCTGGTGCCACCGTTGCGCCGAAGACACCCACCCACGGCGTCAACGCTGCCCCCACGCTCAAGTCTACCCCGAATGCAGTTGGTTCTGCTGTTATCAGCGAACACATCAGTACTGTAGGGGTCCAGTACGTTGAATTTTGCTCTGGCCAATTGCACATGGTCATTGACCTTCATGAATGCCTGCAGGATCTCGGATCTCTGCCCGTGGATCTCATGGGATGTCGAGAACTTCAGGCAATGCGGCGCTGATGCAATGCTGCAGGAGCTCCTAGATGGCTGCCAAGATACCTCTGTTCCTCCCATTGAGAAGTCGAAACTATTGAAAGATTCCCTCAACGCCGTTGTGAACCTCTGCAACAATGAGAAGATCAAAGAGCACGTCAAGGCTTTGTGAGTGGGCATTTCAAATCGTGTAAAAGTATATTAACGCCATCGTCCAGTGCCAAATGCACGACAGAACCAGCTTCTTACCCTCATTTTGTCAAAGCTGCCAACGCTGCGCTCCTCGAACTGCACAGCTTGAACGTGTCCGGACTGACGGCTCCGCGCAACAACGATACCGACATCCTATTTCATCACAACGACTACCCTATAAATCGAATGCATCAGGATCAAAAGGCGCAACGCAAACCTGATATTGTTGTCGTCTCTTGCAACACCGCTAAGGGCCTGCGGAAGGTTGAAGAGGTTAATAATGAAAAGTGTAAGGATGACAAGGCCAAGGGCAGAAGGGCCAAGGGCAGAAGGGCCAAGAGCGGAAAGGCCAAGGATGCAAAGGGAAATGGTAAGGATGGTAGGGGTAAGGATGTGACGGCTAAGGATGAGAGCAGTAAGAAGCGCCGGAGCCTTTACATGGAGACGGCGGCGCAGAAGCCCGATGGCCACTTCCAATGGCGCGATGTTCATTCGACATTCGAGTTCAAATGCAAGAAGGGTGCTCTGACTGCTCCACCTAAAACATACAAGGTGAAGGAATGCATTGCCCCCAAACAGCAGTATCTTCCGAAGGACACGGACCCTGTTGAGCCAACAAGTTTGGCGTCTGGGCATGCTGCTGCAGGCTCCAATCAGCCATCCAATCAATGTAAGTCACCCAGAGTGTCCACCTGTTGCGTCCTTGCTGACCTGCGCAATTCAGCACGACGTGGGTCTGGGCAAGTCCAAAGTAAACAAGAAAAGAAACGTAGTTCCAATCATTTACCCTCCAACGAGCCTGCCAGCAAGCGCGCCAAGAGCAACAATGAAACCGGTATCGAAGAGAAGGAGCCGAAAAAGCTTCCTCCTAATGTCCAGAATGGCATGTATGTCGCAGAGATGTTTGCTGCCAATATCGCGAGGCAGCACGTCATCTCTTGTGTAGTGAACAGTAAGTCGACAGAATACTGCAAACCTCTCGTCGAATTGATTGTCCATACCAGACAACATCATCTACATGTGGTATTTTGATCGACAGGACATCATCCAATGTGCCGGCATCAACTTCATTCAGGACCTTCCCCGCTTCCTGGTCTTGCTGCTTGCTATGCAGCGAATGTCTTCCGAGCGATGGGGTTTGAACACGCAATTCAAAGAATCATGCGAGATTGTTGTCGACGGTGTTGACCTCAAATTTGATTTGACGTCCGACCAATGCATAACCCACTTCGGTCTGCGTGGCCGTGCAACTACTGTGTTTCCCGTGGAAAGCAAGGCGCTATCGGAACAACTACAGAAACGGGGAGAGGAACAAGGGCACTGTAACGACATCCCTAGCCATGAATTGGTTGCCAAGCTCTACTGGCCAGAAGAGGAGCGAGAGAGCGAGGCTGAGATACTCAAGAAGGTGTATGAGATTGCGACGAGCGAGCCAGATGTGAAGGGCCACGTCCCGGAGGTAGTTTGGTCCCACAAGTTCGAAGGGACATCCACGGTGAAAATCAGGACAGCGCTAGGACTGGACAACGCTCAACAAGGTAGCCGCGTCTTGTATATCATCATGTTCAAGAAGCTTATCCCGATCACGAAACTGAGTGGGGACGAATTCCTCACTGCATGGTGGCAAATAGTGTGTTGTAAGTGGTCTTTCATCTTGCGCTCTTTGCTGTCCATTTAGAATTGTGACACCAGGCCATTATGCCCTCTGGAAGAAGGGCGTCCGTCACCGTGACGTCAGTCCTAGCAATCTCATGGTATACAAGACCTCAGATGGTCGATATATTGGCATTCTCAATGACTACGACTTGTCATCGACACAAGGTAGTTCCAAGGGCAACGAGCGTACAGGGACAGTGCCATTTATGTCAATCAACCTTCTCGAACCTGAAGCCATGAAAGGCAAGGTCGAGCACCTATACCGACACAACACTGAATCGTTAATCTGGGTCCTTGTCTGGGTCTGTCTTCGGTATCACGAAGGCGAGCTTCTGACTACGGGCAGACCTCTCGATGATTGGCTGAAAGTAGATGCTAATGGATGTGCGGAAAAAAAGTCCCGCTTTCTGCTGCGGTCTCAGAAGGAGCACTTCCCCCTAATGCCCACGTTGTCACACCAATCCAACTGGGATGTTGCTCTATCTTGTCTTCGCTCATTCTTCTTGTTGGATGTGCGGATTGTAGTTCTGCCGGACGAGAAGTCTGTCCTTGAGACGTGGTTCCAGACGAACCTACCGTCGTATCTTATCGACTTGTAATAAGGAGTAGCAATCTTGTAGAGGGTTATGGCAAAAACCTTGTTGTAACTAATGGACATGTACATAAATAAGAGCTCATGACATTCACTACCATAATCAGAAGTTTAGTGAACCAGGTCTGAAAACTTCTCCCGATCACGAACCTGAGCGGCGATGAGTTCCTCACCGCACGATGGAAAATGGTGGTCTGTTTTTTCCTTGTGCTCTGTATTGTCCCTTCACTGCACTGACAGGTCTCTGAAAGAATGGTGTATGTCACTGTCACGTCAGTCCTAGCAATCTCATGGTATGCAAGACCTCACTGAATGGTCGCTTTATTGGTGTGCTCAACAACTATGACTTGTCATCGACTCAAGATGCCCCCCACCGGCAACGAGCGTACAGGAACAGTACCATTCATAGCGCTTGACCTACTTACAAATAAAGCCATGCAAGGCAAGGTCAAGCACTTGTACCAGCACGGTGCTGAATATTTCGTCTGGGTTCTCATCTGGGTTTGTCTTCGGTTGAGGACGGAAAGCTCTTGAGCAAGGGCAGACCACTCGATGATCGGCTCAAAGTGGACGCTAATGGATGCAGGAAGAAAAAGTCTGACTTTATGTATAGTGTCCGGATGGACAATGATGATGATGACGACGACATCATCAAACCCTCGTCGTCGCACCAAAACACCAGTGGCCAATTGCGCTAGCTTGCCTTCGCACTATCCAGCACGTTACCCATGTGCCAGACGATCAGTTTGTATTTGAGACGTGGCTTTGACGCATGTACAATCGTCGCTTATCAACGCAGTAGTAATTTTACTCTTTCATGTCAACACATCCTTTAGATCAATACCTCCCACTCTTGTGGATATGCGTCTGCAAAATAGAGCTCAGATTATCGGCCCCGAGTCACGACCCAAATGTTTATACATTTGAATTTCGAAGAGGAAAATTCGACTGTCATCAGGCAATCTACGATTCTCCGATATCTCGCGATGTATTGAATGGCAGGTCTGATTCAATACAAAGGAACGATTGTCTTCCTTCGATGGGTCTGGCTAGGGGAGACTACTCTCAATGGGCCCTCCAGTAATCAATACTTATTCTCCTCCGAGTCGTGTGGCGTGTGTGTGAAGACTCGAAAATTATAGTCGAATGTAGCCTAGCGACCTCTCTCCGTGAAAGCTATGACTCAACAATATCTACACTTGCAAAACGATGATAAATATCATGCCCAATAGTAATATTGATTGGTGCACTTGTCGGTTACTAACTTACGACGCATTCATAGTGATTTCGTACGAATGTCTAGTATATAGCCTAGGCTATGCTCCTTAAGGTCATGCTCGTCACTAGTTCACTTGTGAGTCACTTAATCAATTAGTATCATTTCAACTAGCCTCCTCTCCCCTGTTTGAAGTGTTTTCTTTCCATTGCGAAATTAGTACACATATACTTCTCGTTCAGTGTTCAAACTTCACATTACATGCTCTGAGCTCTCCGCTGATAAATTTGTCTTGATTTCAGAGTCAGTCAATGTAAGTATTGAGACGTAGCATACGAGCAACCTAGGAACATGGCTCATGTACTCACTAGCGGAGTATCGGAGACATCTGAGTGGCGGAGTGAGTATATAGATATAAATATAGCTTGGTACCTACCTGAATAGATTTCTGTGCGCCACGCACTCCCATTTTGTGAACTGCTGCTGTCGCTCAACAGTTTATCGTTGTACTGCTCGGAACCTAAATCAGAACAGCAAGTACTAGTAAGTGGTTGGTTGAATGTGTGCTAGTAACCGATGGTTCCAAATCACACAAGGTAAATCCATTACCATCCCTCATTTTGATTTTTAACATCTTTCGAGTGGAATACAAGGCACTGTCGCGCTCGCCACAGAAGCATCCTCTTCATAACTACACCAACGGACTAGTTGCCAAGCTCTACCGGTGAGAAGGGCTGTGTGACATTGAGCCTGATATACTCAAGAAGGTCTACAAGATTGCGGAAAGCCAGTCAGAGGTGACGGGCCATGTGCCAGAAATGGTCTGGATTCATAAGTTTGAAGAGGCATCCATGGAAAAATCCACAAGGTCGCTAGCAATTGATGATGCTGATGCTGAACGAGGCAGCTGCAGCTTGCACATCAAAGTGTTCAGAAAGCTTCTCCCGATCACGAAGCTGAGTGGGAACGAGTTCCTCAGCCCATGGTGGCAAGTGGTGCTTGGTAACTGTTGTTTCTTCTTGCGCCCTTTACTGTCCATGAATAACTGCGACACTAGGCCATTATGTCCTGTGGAAGAATGACGTCCATCACTGCGAGGTCAGCCCTAACAACCTCATGGTATACAAGAATTCAGATGTTCGATATATTGGCGTGCTCATCGACCATGACTTATCATCGAATCAATGTAAACCCACCGGCAGCGAACGCACAGGGACACTACCATTCATGGCAATTGACCGTCTCGAATGTGAAGCCTTCGAAGGCAAGGTTGAACACTTGTACCGACACGACGCTGAATCGTTGATCTGGGTCCTCGTCTGGGTCTGTCTTCAGTATAATGAGGGCAAGCTCCTGAGCAAAGGCAGACCACTCGATGATTGGCTGAAAGTGGACGTTAATAGATGCAGTAATATAGTGGCCTGTAGCGTGATACAGTGGTCACAGGGCATGAATTTTTATTTCAAAAGAAAACTGGTATGGACAAGGTAGTAATACTACATAGAGCTAATATTACTATGCCACTGCATTGGACTCGGAGATAGTATAGTAAAAATCCTTATCGATGTACTTGTTAAGCAAAAATGATTGAGTGAACTTAGAGCTGTTTTGTGGCGTCAGACGAGTGTCAGCGTGAGGACCAAAGTGGGGAATTATGTGAGCAAAGGAACAAAGTTGATCTAGGGGAAGGATGTCGCTGAAAGGCATTGCTCCTGCACGCATAGCACGTTTTAGAACATGCATCTGCGTAGTGCGGTCCAACACCATTCTGCGCTGCTGATGTACCATGTCGAGACATTGGACATAAGTAAGGAAACGTCCAGCCCACGGGAGAGTTCTGCCTGGTGGTGAGACTGGTAACATTATGAAGTGAACCTCAACAACAATGTGTCCTAGATTTGTACCTCCGAGTCAGTACAAATAACACTGAAGAACACATCAAGTTACCTTTAAGCCCGCTAGCAGGCCATTGTTCTGTGCCATCAACAGTAAATATGGCAGCATCGTAGCGGCCATGCTTCCAATTGGCATCTGGCGGAGACGCATTAACCATCAGAGCAGGAAGGAGGGCTGACCTGCTGTGGTGTGGTGTCTGCTGCACATGTACTTTGAACCAAATATTAAGATGCTGGAATGGAAGATTCATGGTTGGTGACGCTCGATGTTGTCCTGTCAACTTGTGGAGGTTTTGAACAGTCTGACCCTCCCGTTGAATGTAATCGGCGAGTGCTGCTCACAAGTTGGGCAAACAGAACTTCCCAGCGACATCGTCGATAGCTTGGTGTCGTAATGAGGGGTCAAAATTGAGATGTATGGCGGTGGAGCCAATGACGAACATGTGGAGTGGTCTGGGCACTGTGGTGGACAACGAGGCAAGTTGTGCCTTCTTGAAGAAATTTGATACAACACATCCTGTCCCCCACAAATCACTAATGGCAGCCTGGATATCACCTGCTTCATCGGCATTCTCGTCATCATCGATCCCATCATCCGGATCATCTCTATATCCGGCAGTGGCGGTGTGCATCTGGGACTGCGGTTGCTGGGCAATAGACATTGCAAGATGAAAATGTTGACATTTTTCGACGCGATCCAGATATCGACATATCTGGGGATCATAGTTCTGGTTATTTGTAGATTCTGCTGGATCCTTGATGAGGGTTATGTGAGCTCATTCTGTGGTGTCAGCTGACCACTGTATAGGAGAACTGACTTGACAGATACTCGGCACAACACTTTGCATCATTTCGAGCTTTGGAATGTACCAGTTGTCGAGGATGCTTTTGCTCTTGGCACCCCGACGCCCACCATGCATGATAACTTCATGTTTGTGGTCGTGAAACGTCTTGAGAGCATCAAGGATCTTCTGACATTGCTTCTCGTTGATGGTTACTGCTTGAGATAAGTAACGGAAGTCCATTAGCGCACGGACAGCTATGACGACGCCTGGAGGTGCAGCATTTGCGATGACAGCAACAAGGTAATGCTGTCTGTCCCGCTGCGCTCTTCCGGTGACTTGCTTGAGCATTGAGATACCCTGTTTGAAATGTCAGAATGTCACGAGCGGTTGTAAGACAGAGAAATGAAAGTCGAGCTCCTCTGCACCAATGATTTTGATACACCACTGTACATTGTGATCATAGGATTCGTGATGCCAATGGTGCAAGGCCTCCGGGGTCAGAAACAAGTTTGGATCTGTGAATGGCCAGTTGCGCCAGAACGGATCAACAACACCGCTGAGGTGGTTGGGCTCACATGCGGCGAAGAAGGCTTCAACATCTAGAGGGTCGCATATAGATTTGATGTTCTTGAGTTGTGTAAGGGTGGTTTTGGCTGTGCGCGGGGGGTGTTGGAAGGCGTCACCAAATTGCTTATATGAAGCCGTGGTGAGGTGTGAGGTCTTTCCTCGAACACAGGCAAGCATGGCCGCCTCAGGTGTATCCACGATATATGAAGCCAGGGGAGTAAAACAATATCTAAGGTTCCCGACTGGGTCTAACATCATACGTCCAATGCGCGCAGCCTGCTTGAGTGGCTCGAGGATAATTTCAAGACAATGATGGATTAGGCGAGCTTCTAGAACACCTTGCATATGTTTGACTGGATGCAAAAATTCAGCGATGGGAAGCAGGGCTGTGAGAAGAAAAGCGTGTGATGATGCCTTGTTTTGAACTGCCATCTTGATGTTGGCAAGACTGATGAGGAGGGGGTGGGTGACGCATCTGCCGGTCATGTTCGTGATATTGGTCTTATCAGAGGAAAGTATTACACCAAGTAGTGTAGAATCCTCTGGAAGCTTGGACTGCGATAGAGCAATAGAAGTTAGACAAGTATTCACACTAAACACTAAGGCATGAACCTGCATCGTCCAGGCTGCTTTGCCAGTCATCCATTTGCCGTATATCCATACTGTACGCTCCGCCGTGGTATATATGCATTCAGGTATGAGGTCAATATCCTTGGCAAATCTCAGATTATTGAAGAGGGATTCAATACAGTCCAGTGGATCATGCCAATACAGGTGCACAGGTAGTTTTGTTGGATGATTGGTGGAAACAACACAATATTGCCACTTGGGACCAGAGGGTAGAAGCTCAGCATGACCCCGTAGCTCTTTTGCTGTGCGAAAGGAGAGCGGTAAGGCTTTGATCTGTCAAGGACTTGATTTCCAAGCTGATCTGGAGTCAGTGAAGACAAACATACCAGTTCTATCCCTAGGAAGCGATCTATGGCCACCATACTCAGTGCCGAAGACAGTAGAAAATTAGCGAGCTCCCAGTCCTGAAAGGATGTGAATGGATAATACAAGTTATCATTATGATGATGTGTGTATGCATCATCATTGAACCACTCCAGGAAAGTCAGACCCCATGCATGTACCCTTGCAGCACCTTCATATCATGTAAAATGCCCCCCTGCAGCTCCACGACCCAGCGTCTCTCCATCGGGGATTGGAAAATAATTCTCCACATCTGCTTCTTCATCATGGTAGACCATATCATCCCCATCCGAGTTAGGGCCCGGGTTCCATGCTGGTGGCAGATCTAAGTCCATCAAGAAGCCATCAGGACTTTGAGTTCCGAGTCTGCCAGAATGAGCAGAAGACTGAGAGTGTGATGATGATCAATTGGATTTTTCAAGAGATGCACGCCGGTTCAATGAGTTGAGTATTTCTGCTGCAGTTGTGAACTCCACAGTAGTACATTGTCGGCATGATACGAGGGGCTGGCTTAGGTGACGTGTAACACCCAAGGGATCCTTGAACTTCTTTAGACAGTTCGGGCAGTCGGGCATTATGCCAGCTAGTGTCCAAGTCTATCTAGCAACAGCGTGTACCAACACTTCTAATATCACCTGCTCTGTACTTTCCTTTTTAATTTTCATCCCACAAAAAATATACGAGCAGCACGATGAATGAATATAATAGTAGTTGTACGTATAGTACGGTGGATGCAACACGGACAACAGTTGGTAATGAAGATAGTACTAGTACAAGTAAAGTAGTACTAGTCAGGCTAGTACTAGGTGAGATGCGATGAAAAAATGTAATGTCAGTGCGAAACAAAGATCACTCAGGCTCAAAGATCCTACTAGTGGCGAGACAACAACTTAGCACAAACATTCAAGATCAATGATGAATTAGAACTCACCTTGCTCGTCTTCTTCTTCTTCTTCTTCTTCTTCTTCGAGCTGGCATTATTTGTCTCCTCCGAGTCTTTTGAGACCTTCAACTTCTTCGAGTCACGTTCAGTGGAACCACTGGCAAGAGGGGCATCCAGAGTGACGATCTGAGATGACTCGCCGGAGACTTCTGTGCCAGTGTGAGTGGTAGTAGCACTCTTACACTTGTTGTATTTGTAGTTGAACCAATCAACACAACAAAAGTAGGTGGTGTCGCAAACGGCGGAGGACATCTGCATAGCAGCGGCAGACCAGTTGAGCAGTAGTACAGGTTTGGAGTTACAGGCCTTGTCTATCATGCTCTTCTCGAGCCCGAACTCCTCCATAATGGTAATCATCTCGGCCTTGAGGTTCGCAGTGCTCGTGTTGAGTAGGCAATCTACATTCATCATATCTACATCAGGAACGAGAGTCTGTAGGTTTGGATCGTAAGATGTAAAGACATAAAAAGATGGAATGTACCCCTTCGGTGTAGTGCTCAGGATCCCTCCAATCGAATCGAAACTTGCTTGATGCTTCATCCTTCAAGAACACCGTGATTCTGACCGCCTTCAACTTCAACCAATTATGCCCCCTAACAACTACAGGCCCAAACATTGTGCCAGATGTTTTGGACGGAATAAGGCTCTTGAACTTTGCGTGGTTCATCTGCGATCCAGATTTGCGAAGCAACTTCACGACCTCAGTATGCTCTTCGGGGCCTTGGAACGTTCCATCCTCGTCGATCGATACCCTGATTAGCTTCTTGATATCTGAGTTGTTCTTCACCATGTTCCCAAACTTGCACATGATGGATGCGTCACTTTGGCTGAAACCTGCCTCGACAAGCCACTGGATGAAACTTTTATCATTGTCGAACTGATCGACAGAGTGTACGACACCCATGATATCTGGGACTTGCTGCGATGATTCTTCATCAGAGAGCTGATTGTTCATGAAGAATTGCGTGTCGACATACCGGTCATCGTGACTGATCTGTGAAGAGTAGGTGATGAAACATTTTTGAAGCCATGTGATGATCATTTCATGAATGGGGGAGGGGCTCATGATCTCAACTTCTTGAGTGTCTGGAAAGTAGTTGGATCTAGTATGTGTCGGTAGCAATCAGGGCACGATATAAGTGACCAATCTTAGGAACTGACTTACTTCGCTTTGATTTCTATATGTGATTCGCACGTAAACACTAAGACAGCTGCGTATTCCGCTAGTGTGATATGCTGGATGGTCTTGAAGAGTGTTAGAGATACTTGATGAACTCAACTAATATTACTAGTAGCTTACGATCATATTTACTTGAAACTGCTGAAGTTCTTCAAGAATTGTGATACAATGATCTGAAGAATGTGACCGTCAGATCTAATTGAAAAGAGATAGCAAAATAATTCATACCGATATTCAAGCCTTCATCAGCTTGATCATGGTCAAAAGCAAGTGTTTTTAGGAAAGCTGCTTTAAGGTTATCGCCAAGAAGTATTAGCTGATCAGGATCAGGTAGTTCTACAGCTGGGGAAGGCCTGAAAATGTCTCCATGCAATTCTTCAAGTGGTTGTTGACCAAAAATGAAGGACAACTTGGGATTGGTTGAGGGTGTTAAAGGCAGCCAGGCTCCTGACTGGCTTGCTGATTGAGTGACATTAGAGTACAATGAGGGTGTGCTGAGAGGGAGAGACCCATGTCTACTAGCGCTGATAGCCATGACGGGGAGTGTTAAGATGCCAACAAAGGACTATTGGCCTAGGTGGCAGCTTGACACTGGCAGCCAGCTGACATATCTAGTGTGGACATACATTCAATTGCCAAAATCATGCTGCTCCTACTAGTAATAATCCTCTTCAAGTCTGTCTTTTTGCACAATTCTGATACTGAGCTAGCGCAGTTATCGACGCTGTCAGATTCAATATACAACTATGAAGCCCATGAGCTATGGAGACAGCAGCTGGGACTTTTGAGCAAGAGCGGAGTTTAAACCTGAAACACAGCGTGCTCCACAGCAGTATACAGTGGTATACAGAGGCGTGTAGCAGTACACAGTGGACTGCAGCACTCTGTAGCATACTTCATGTCAAATAAATTATCCTCACTGATTGTGCAAGATTCAAATAAGTATATGAGCTGCCACCATCACAGCAGTACACATTACAACTTATTGAAAAGAGACTTGGATTGGAGGCAACAGGGGTTGGCACAGTGTATGTATGCTAGGTACAATTTGACAACAGGACATAGGACAGACAACATTATCAACCTTTGACAGAGGCCTCCGAGTCATAGTTGCAAGTGGGCTCAGGTTCAAGCATCAGAGGATCTTGTGGAGTATGTGAATTGAAGAGATACTGTACAATCAAATTTTGCTTACCTGGCATCGTGGCTGGGTTGGCTACCAGTGGTTGACTCGGAGAACGTTCAACATCCAGATCATTAGTTTGACTTTCAGAGGTGCGGCGACGTTTTCGGGGCTTTGATTCCTCCAATAATGCGATGCCACTCTTGCGGATGGAATGGCGTATATAACCAATACCGATGTTGGCGTTCACGAGCTGTTTCTGAGCTTCGCCTGCTTGGAACCTGTATAGCCTCCCAAGTGCATCATTCTCCTTGATGATGGAGTCTGCAAGCCTTTTTTCTGCAAGACAAACGTCTCGCTGTGCTCTGGAGGCGTCCAAAACAAGTATGGCTCTAGCTTCTCTGAGTTCGGTGGAGTCAGTGGATTCCTAGGCGATATCAGCACTCATAATATAGCATGAACACGAATTGATGCATAATTTACATCACCAGTAGTACTAGCGTCGCTATCATCACAATCCTTGTTTGGCTGGAGGGCGGACAAATGGGCAGCAATGCTGTGGTGCGACTCTGAGATATTTGGCGAGTTCAAGTGTTGCATGAGCCCTCCATCCTTGGAGGGTATGTATTTTGAAAGAGCACCAATAGCCCTAGGAGTTTCAGTTGACCTTGTACATTGTACAGACTTGCCAGTGAGTGGATGTATAACGGGAGTCTGGGGGATGGTATGCTTAGAAATAACACGGACTTTTTCGGCTTGGGAGGGAGAAGCAGGTATCGCAGCATTGAGTGGGCTGGACGACACAGGAATAGCTACAGTTGGTGTCGCTAAGGCTTGGTCGTTAATGGTAGAGGGCATGATGCAATATCAATGTATCTAGTTGAAACAATTCACGGAGTGAATAGACGGGTGTCTACGGGAGTATTATTATGGCATGGTAGGCGGGAACACATAGACTTATGTAACAGTAATACTATGTTGCTTGATTCAATTACAAGTCTACAGTTGCATTTTACCTCATATCATGGGACTTGGTTTAATTGGCGAGTTGACTAGGCCGCCATCTGAGTCTGTCTTTGCCTTTGTTTTCTCCACCAACCATGGGCAGGAAGAAGAGTCTGCGACAAGTGGTGCTATTCGATTCCTCAGCGCACAGCGATAACAACTCGGGGATCATGACTCCACTCAGACTTGTCAAGCCTCAGGTTGACTCACCTTCGGGGCCCCGGCGTACCAAGCGTCCCAACGCTGGAAAGGGTGGAATGGCCTCTCAGTTAAGGAAGGTTGGAGAGGCCGTGATTGATGATCCAGCAAGACGTGCTGGCAAGGGACGACAGTTTGCTATACCTGATGGAGAGCCGAAGAACATCATGGTGCCGTCTCCAGTGAAAAAGAGAACTTGCAGGAAGGGTCAAAAAACAGTAAGTTCTATGACGTGAAGCTACACATTCCCTTATGCTTGATATTCCATAGGCTGTACCAGCAGTTCAGACACCAGATCGATTGGATGGTGCAGGTTCTGCACCTACTCTGCACGTTGGAGTGAACGGTGAACGGTTTGGGTTACAGAATAACCCCATTCCTCCAGGTTACGTCGGTTTGCAGCCTTTGGGATTGGAGCATCCTGTGCATTCAAACTCTCATATTCAACAGGATAGACCATGCTCCCATACCCACGTGGAAGTTGCAACAAGGCCCACTGTCAAGCCGCCTGTCATGCGTGCACCTGCAGTGCAGCCTACCATTCCACGCCAAAAGCCTGTCATGCGTGCACCTGCGGCGCAGCCTACCATCCCACCCCCAAAGCCATCCAACCCACCTGTTTGAAAAAAGTCTTCGGGGGCAGGTGGAGCTCTTGCAGACAGTGCTTCCTCCATCTTTCAACCTGGTTCTATCTCAGAAAATGAAGAAACTGAACATCACAGTGACAAGGATATGTCCGAGGTTTGTGATGAGTTAAACATTGTCAGTGACGACAATTCCCATCCGAGCGATGACAAAATGCGTACATCTCCACCCGTCAAATTCTCACTTGACAGACATGAAGATCATGATGAGGATCAGGATATCGACCACACCCAGCGCCGTCAAGGTCAGGCAGAATGACCCGTCGGCCGCCCTGCCAGTGGGCATGCATCTTGAAAGGACCACGGGCGGAACAGGTGTGAAGATCCTGGTAAATGGAGCCAACCACAAGCTTGCTCCAATGCAATCGCAGAAGTGGTAAGTAATTACCATATTTTATACTCGTCTCAGATTCATCATATCCATCAGCCTAACGTGGATTATGATGTCGTCAAATGGCATCACAAGACTAATGGTTGTGCTCGTTCTCCATCACCGACGTACTTGCATTCAGTACACTATTCTGGCTTCACTGTCAACCAGCCGAAAACCAAGCGCGCTCGCACCAGCAATCTCCAGTGAAACAACAATTGTCAAGCGGCTGGGGACTCAGGTGACATGAAAGTCAATACTGATTCAAAGAGTACACAGGACGGTGCCATTGTTGCAAAACGAAAGACACTTGGTTTCTTCCTGGATCTTTGGGTCAAACTGCTGAATTATACCAAGGCCTGCTTTAGGTTGCATCTTGCCATCGCAGACCCATTACCTGCATGCAAGGAAGCCCTTAGTGACACTGGTATATGCCTGGAACTAATCACGGAATCAATTGTGGCTTGGGAGGCACAAAACCGCCGTCTTGAAGCAGGTATTTATTTCTGACTGGTCTAATAGTAGCGCACCACTAACAATTTTGTCCAGATTTCTATCCCCAGTACGAGTATGACATGGCCACTGTCATAAGTGTCGTTTTCATTCGAGATTCCCCTATCAATACTCAAGTCCGTGCTCTGACAGATTTACAATGATTCCATCAACTTTCACAGTAGGATCAAGCAAATCGCGATTAACGTTGTTCCTGTGGAGTACAAGCTGAGCGGTAGCAAGAGTGAGATCAAACAGAAGGCGAAGGCGTTATTGAAGAGCTCGACATTTTTGTGTGGAGAATGTGACGAGCGTGTATGCACCATCATGACCTTGAAAACCGAGACTAATCTTCTAACAGGATCGTACTTCTAACTTTGCGCACAGCAGCCTCCACTCTGTCTGCCTTCAAGCATTCTATGATGGTGGTTCGAAATCTTTACGACAATTTCCCGAATTTCATCACACCATCCCTTGCAAAGCCCTTCTCCTTGTCGCGACCATTGTAAGTCTATTGAATCAGTATGTACATCGTTGTTTTTGTTATTGACTCATTATATTTCAGGTTCGCAATGTTATTCACGTCTACTCAATGTATGGCCACGTGAACACGAAGCAAATGGCCTTGGGAGATTCTGAAAAGGTGTACAGGAAACTAACGAGTATGCTCAAGCAGGTCACAGATGACGAATATCATTGCGAGAAGCTTGATGACGAGCTCCGATCTTGGGCTGTGGCTGGCATGTATGTTTTCCTTTGTATTTTATAGTGGTATTACTGATCATCGAGACAGGACCGGGGTTGTTGTTGACAGCGAACCTCAAGGCATCAAGAGTGATTCTGACTGGGTGGTTGAACTCAATTGATATAGTATAGTACTAGTCTCATTGATCACATTATTACTACTACTACCATAGTATTACCCTGCTTCAATGCTAATGTTTTCGTGTTGCGCTTATACCGGCTGTGGCATGCAAGAAATTTTCTGAAGCATCTGATGTGCACAATAGTAATACTAGTAGTAGTGTACAACTCAGTGTATTGCTATATAGCTACTAGAGGTGGTTATACAGTACCACACAGTGCCAGTATTAGTCTGCACAGTGCCAGTAATAATAGTCTGCACAGTGCCAGGAATAGTCTGCACAGCGCTATATTTAGTGATCGTGAGATTTTTTGGGTAGCGAAAAATAGTTCATGCACAGCTTGACTCAGATTGGCAGCGCTATGTGTCACTGTAGCTCCACTGCACAAGGGGGGACTTCACTATGATGCTGCAGTCACTGTATGGCACCGTGTTGTACTGTACATCACCTCAAATCACACAAGGGTTTTGCTGATGTGTATTAGTCACTGATCACTTGGCAGTGGTCACCCCAGTGCACCTTTAATATTGTCCTCTGACATGTCTCACTCATGAACCACAAGCAATATGAGCGACCTGAGTGAGACCATCAGCGAACCTGATTCCATCATCAGTTTCAATGAGAACGTGTATCTGTCCATGCAAAACGCTGATATATCCACTGCGACCTATGTGGAGCAGGCTTGACAAATCCTAGACCAGCTAGTGACGAAGCAAAACAGGTGGATCAAAACACCACCACGTGTGAACAATGTAGATGCATCTAGGGTTCTAGACACGATGCTGAGGAACGCTCGCCAAAGCGGTGGTGAAAAATCCAAGTGTTATACCGCCTGTGCTATTTGTGCATGTCCGGAGATCTACGAGCAAGTCAACCTCGCGAGGACTTGGTTCATGTATCTGCTATGGCCATGTAAGTTATAACTTAAGTGTCTGCCATGAATACCAATGTGATTTCCCCTTGGTAGTCACAGCCGGATCTCACCAGCCATCAGACCTGATTTCTGATCAAGCCATGCCCACTATTGACAACACCTATGGCAGCCTCATAAGTGTCAGTCCAGAACGGCGTAGCGGATTTAGGAGCGATGTACGTCCCACTGTCAGAAAGGTGGCTTTCAGCATTAACTCCAACAGCTTAATTGGCAAGATGGTTATAGATGTGTTGTTACTGGTATGTGGGATGGAGAACACAGGCCCGCCAGTAGCGATCAGGCTTGGGTGACCTTGACAGGAGCGCACATCCTGAAATGGGCCGTTGGTGTTTTCACCCTGGAACAAGTAAGGATTTCTCTGCCAGGTCAGCATTAATCCTGACCCTCGAGTTGGATTACTACACAGGCGCATACTGCGGCTGCGACGTGGAATATCATTCGACATTACTCAGGAATATCTGAAGAAACTATTCAAGATATGGAAAGGCTCGTAGATGATCCTTCCAACAGCATGATGCTCGAACCCTATGCCCACACTGTTTTTGATAAGCTAAAAGTATACCTCGAACAGATGGAGGTGAGTCTGCAGGCTTTCGTCCTCACAATGCCTCATATTGATCAGCGCTCCAGCGAGAAGACGAGTACGTAGTCAAGGAAGTTAGCAGCGGGCGGTGGATACATCGCAACATTCTCGATAGAACTATCACCTTCCGGAATCACACTGCCCCTACACGAGACATACCGTTGCCTAACCCTCATTTCATCGCCCTACATGCAGCCATCTCTCGAATTTTGCATATGAGCGGTGCAGCCGAGGTATTTGCACAGATCTTGGACCGATATGATGGAGCAGCAGGAGGCAATGCCATAATTCTGAAAAGCAATGGAAATCCAGTACATCAACTATCTTCGATGATGTCTGCACTGTATATAAGCACCCTGCCGGAGTCCACTGCATAGAGGTTGTAGTATTGTCTGTAATATTGTTGGTGTAAGTTCAATGAACGTACCATTGGACCTAAAAACATGTACGGCATGCGAGATACAAAGATGTAGCCTCGCAAGGATAGTATTGTTGGGCATAGACGAGAAGACACAATGAGTCGTCAATGACTAATGTTCACGTCACGCAATACGAGCATCACCGTGGACAAGTAAGAACACCAACAAATCATAGTCAGCTATTATCAAGCAAACGGTAAAAGGACTTACCAGTGTATAGCAATCAATATATCCTGTAGTATAAAAGACGTAGTAGTTAGAATGAGACACTTCAGTTCTTTCAATGAAGACTGAAGTGTAAGTATTTAGCATTCTTACCTATCATATACACAACACTAATCATTTACTAGTTTACTTTCTAGGTATGTATTATACTTTAGAGTTCTTTCAATAAAGGCTGAAGTTTTACTTTCTAGTTCTCACTCCCAACACGCTCGAACCTTAATAAGTATGTGCTAAGATATGTCTGTATGTTGCGAAAGTTGAGCAGACCAGATCCGATCAAACAAAGAACTTTGCTAGCACAAGCAGTCTGGACTCTGCATGGTCGGGCGTCCGCATGCTTTTTACCTGCTGGTGATTGTTGAGATGATAATGATGCGTCTAGACTTCTTGATGTCCTCCCTTTTCTCCGCAAGCATGGTTGCTTGCATTAAGTCCACTGCTAGTTCCAACCTGATGACTTTGTCTCATCGATCACCCGCGACAAGCAAATGCTACATCTCCAACCTGTCTCGTCCACAAACTGCTTAACCAAATATATAGCCTCACAGGCTATACTGTCATAATGATGCATAAAAACAGGCTAAGTAGCAGATTTTGATGATGCATCAACCATGTTAGTGAGCAGTGGTGCCTGAACCTCATCTGATGATCCCAGTTGGCAAAATGATGCATAGTGATGTATCATTGATGCATCATCATGCCAGGCCTCCCCACATTATCCCCACACCTCACACCTCCGCATTTTTCAGCCACATGGTGTGGGAATTACCCCACAACACCTCAAACACCACCCAATTTGGTATTCCCCACAATTATAATTATTCTTACACCCTCCCCACCTCACTGCAGCTTCACCAGCACACTACAATAGGTCCCTGTTCATATATAGGTAGTAGTTTAGCATATATATGTATAATATAATATAATAGACCGCTTTTTTGTTTATTTGTGTGACAGCTCCCCCTCCAGGCCCTACTACCTTATTTTGAAAGGGGCCTGGAGGGGGAGCTGTCACACAAATAAACAAAAAAGCGGTCTATTATATTATATTATACATATATATGCTAAACTACTACCTATATATGAACAGGGACCTATTGTAGTGTGCTGGTGAAGCTGCAGTGAGGTGGGGAGGGTGTGAGAATAATTATAATTGTGGGGTATACCAAATTGGGTGATGTTTTGGGTGTTGTGGGGTAATTCCCACACCATGTGGCTGAAAAATGCGGAGGTATGGTGTGTGGGAATAGGCCTGACATGAGGGGGTGACCAAAATGAGTGAATTTCCGCTTTTGGAAGCCAAAATTGCGGTCATCACATGACCAAGCTATACACTATACTGTGATGTACCGCCAAATGAATCACAACATTACAAATTGGCTTCGCAATACGCAACAACTTTTCTTATCATTGTCTAAGTAGGTTGGAGACATTAGATGTACTTGTACAGACAATCTCTGTAATTTTTTTTTTTCAAAAATACACCGTTGTTCGCATTGTGTAGCGAAAACAGTGAACAGGTACATTAAGTGGCCAGTACCGCCAAATGAATCACATTGTGGGTGAGGAAAATAGACTCTGTGTGAATCAGAAGTCTAACAAGGGTGCGAGGCTTATACTCGTCCCGAGGGGATTGCTACTGGGTACCGAGTCCTCAAATAAGTGCGAGGAAACAAAGACTAGACTCTGTCTAGCGACCCGAAGGGTTCCGGTCCTTACTAGGACTGGGAACACAAAGATGCGGAGGGTTCCCGACGAGCGGAACTCAGCGCGCGATGAGTGGAACTACGGGGAACTAACGGAACTAATGCAGAGCAAACAGGACAAACGGGGAACAAACGGAACTAATGGGGAACAAATGGAGGGAAAAGAAACTATGAGCCTGCAGGAGGATGATTGGGCAAAGTCAGACCAGGCTTGTGTCTGGTACTTGCTCCAAGTCGTCGGATCCGATGTCAGGCGTTTCGAGCGGAACTCACGGGGGCGGGAACGATGCAATGTGATCAGGAATAGATTCGGGAAGATATCTTAAACAGTGAGTGGAGTACTGGGAAGTACTCTGTAAGTGGAAGTGGAGTCAAGTCTATCAGAAGGTAAAAAACTAAGATCCCATCTATTGCTACCTATATAGGAAGGGGTTCCGAAATGCGATATGCTACAACCGGGTGAGGCTGTGAGATAAGGAATTGGTCCCGAGTAGTGGAAGGATCCATATAAGTACCGTAACACATGGGAAATGAGATAGGAACATGTTAGTGACACAGGGAACATAGCTAGTACTCACCAGCGAGGATGGAAGGACATGGACAGGACGGAGGAGGATGTTCCGAAGGCTGAAGGAATATAATGCGTGTGGTACGCGATTGTTCCGCTGGGTTCCGCTGGGTTCCGCTTGGTTCCGTGTAGCGGACGGGTCGGGGAAGATGCGGATGGGTAGCGGAACGCGCGGGAAAAAGGTGGGAAGGCATGGGAAATATGCGGGATACAGGCCTACAGTGGGGATGTTCCCCACAACGTGTATGCTTACTACAAATCAGACATTGAACCTTACCAAACACTACACTTTGGATCTTACAGTTGCCGAGTCACACATACATTCCAACCATTTCACTCACCAGAGTTGCTACACTTCATGAATTTCGATAAATCTCAATGTAATAGATACCTAGAAGGTACTCCTATATATTCCAGCTATCTTTGAAAAGTTTTCGAATGTCAATGCTGCACCCTTCGAGGCATAATTTTCAAATTGCCCAAAATGGGGTGTGTCATCGGTGGTAATTGAGACATCATAATTTTTTCTCATTCAATGTCAGTCAAAATTTGTGCAGGTGATAATGCATGTATGCAGGAGTATATAATAGTGCTTTGCTAGTCATAAGGTTGTGTTGTGTTGGTGTTATGCATGAAGTGATTCATTTGATGGTACTGATTCATATGGCGGTACATCACAGTAGGTCTGCTACTTAGCATGTTCTAATGCATCAAAAATCAGGCTAAGAAGCATAGATGATGCATCACCTGTGACTTGTAGTTAGCAGGCTTGATGCATCATAGCTACAGGGACTGGTGAGCCTCAACCCCAGGACATGACTGCCAAGCGGTGAGTGTCAATTTTTCATTCGACACCGCAGCTCGTCCAGCATCAGGAAAAAACAGTACACCTAACACTTTCCTTCAAGGGTGATACCAGACGGTCCTTTGAAATACACACACGTCCGAGCCACCTCTATGAAGCGGAAAAATTCTAAGCTCATTCCCTCTGTCCACATCGACACATCCTCTCGCTTTCTCCCAACACACATGCAACATTTTCATCCTCCTAGGATCCAACCTTGATGTCGTGAAGACTGCATCAAAGACACACAAACCCGATGACATCGTGACGATTCGCTTTCCGGTTCGCACATGTGATTTTGAATGCTTGGGGGACACTCATCATCAAAGGAGAAGAAGGCACAGAAAGCATGTGTGAGGTTGTAGCTCTATCCTTGCACAACGGACTGGGTGGGCGCCCCTGTGTCTGCATATATTTCAGATAAATTAATGCAGAATACTATATTATCATCCTGAAGTTCTTATTCATACTTAGGCGCATTTCTGGCATGAACTAGTCAATATTGAGGGCAGGATATTACGCGACGTTAACATGATGTTAGATCTCCGCACTAGCCAAGAAGTCATCTGTCCAACGCATCCCTGTGAAAAGTATCACAGGGATACGACGGGGGACTCTCCAGCAGCAGCAGCACTGCCGCCCGTATGATTGGCCATTTAGGCAAAATGGTCTCGTCAAGATTGTCAATGTCGGGGGTTCCAAATGGAACTAACCTACGATGAGGCAGACTCTGATCAATCTGTAAGCTCTTGCTAAGAACAATATCAATAACAGTACTCACAAGTCGAGCTACATCGTCATTATAAGCTAATATCACAATGATCTTGTCAAGATTGCCGATGCCGACGATTTTTCATGATTGTCGGTGTGTCGGACATTTTCGGCAACCTGTAAGGATTGATGAGGACAGTATTGACAACATATCTCATATACTCATCAATCGAGCTGCCTCGTCATCGTATGGCTGGCATAAACTAGTCAATGGAAGTGAGATATCTTACCTGACATTGATAGTGCCAGATCTCCGTGGTAGCCGGAAAGGTCATCTCGTGAACGCATCCCTTTGAGAAATGGATCACGGCAATGAGATAGATGGAAAACTCTCCACCAGCAGGAGCACTGGCGTCCATGAGCGTGGACATCTACAATGGTCTCATCAAGATAGTTGGTGTGTCGGAGGTTTAAAATGGACCTAACCTACGATGAGGCAAGGTCTGATCGTACTGTTTTCAACTACTTGCCAGCATATAAGAACAGTATAACAACGTGTTTCATGTACTCACGAGTCGAGCTACATCGTCATCATGAGCTAATCAATATAAGCAAGAGCAAGATATCTTACCTGACGATGATGATGTCAGATCTTCGTAGTAACCAAAAAGTGATCTATCGAATGCATCCATGTGATCAACCTGTCCCTAGAACAAGTCACACCAATGGATCTGATCGACGGAGGACTCTCCACCAGCAGGAGCACTGCCGTCCATGTGTGAGTGGCCATTTGCAGTCGTCTTGTCAAGATTGTCGATGTCGATGTTTTTCAGGTTTGTTGGTGCGTCGGACGTTTCAAATCGACCCGACCTACGACAAGGCAGACTTTGATAGTACTGTTTTCGGCAATCTGCAAGTTGTTGCTAAGAACGGTATTGACACCATATCTCACGTACTCACCAGTCACGCCACCTACATCGTATCACTGGCATGAACTAGTTAATATAAGTGAGAGCAGCATAACTTACCTGACATTGATAGTGTCAGATCTCCGTAGTAGCTGGAAATGTCATCTATCGAATGTATCCCTTTGCCGATTGGCAATAGACGGAGGTTTTTGTGTTCTTGTTTTTTGTTTTGTTTTGTCAAATAAAGACAAATAATAACAAAAACAAAACAAAAACCAGTAAGTGCACTGCCGCCCATTGTCGAGATCGATGATTTTTCAGGACTGTTGGTGCATGTCAAAGGTTTCGGCGCCTTTCACGTTTTTCAAAAAAGAAACGAGCTTGGAACGAAAGTCCTCGCTGTCAGATCCATCGAGCTGCTGTTTAGATGTAGAATAACGACATGGTGAGGACATGAGCTCCTGCAGTTAAGGCCACTTACAGAGTCAGAGTTGAGTGTGCAGTAGACGCAGGGATATATATATGAGACGTGTCTATCAAAATGTTGGTTCATAGAAGTACAACTGGCTTGACACCCAAGGTATGGTCACTAACCGATTTGCACAAGTCAAATCGCCGGCATGGCAGTTTTTTGACGCCCGTTGTGCTTGAAGCCGTTTTTTCTCCTAGGAAAAACTAGCTGATCACGTAAATGTGGCAATGTGATTGTCTCTACCTACCAAAAAATAGAAGAAAAAGCCGTACCTCGCCATCGTATGACTGGATTTCCCAGGTGTTCAATGTCTGGCGTTAGATCATCGTAGTAATTGAACTATACTGTTCGCTGTGACCTGCCTGAGACGCAGCGCAGGTAAGTTGAGTTACTTATCGCAGCATTGATCAATATTCACAGGTCAGGTTACTGGTCTAAGCAGGCCGTTTTATGTTGTTTCCAAAGCAGCACGCCACTCCTTTGCGAGGGTCTAACTCGCCATCTTGCGGAAACATGCCACTACAAGGAGGCACATCTGCACAAGATGCTTTTCCTCCTTGTGGACACTGTGCAGTGCGGAGCGCCAAAATCGTTTTTGCTGAATGTTCATTGGACGATACGCGTCAAAGACAAACAACAGAGATAATTTGGGTTGTCTGTGGCTTGCGCCCAGACCGAGTCATAGTGAGGAGAGGCGTATGAATGCAATTCACTTACTGATATTGCAATTATGCTTGTTGGAGAAATTACGGGCGACATTGAAACTTGATGGCCATGATGGTAGCGATGCAGATGATCTGCAGATCTGACTCATCCTTCAGTGGTCACAGCTGGTATTGCGCGCTGAAAAAAGGAACGAGATTGCGATTACGCTCGTTGGAGAAATCATGGTGGGCGGAAGACGTCGAGACTTGATGCATGATGGTAGCGATGGAAATTTGACTTCTCTTGTCTATCTGACAGCTGGTTTCGAGCCTTGAACAAAAAAACAAGCTGGTCGGAGTAGTAATCATGGTGGGTAATGTCGAAAAAAGTCGATGGTGGCGGTGGCGGTCATGATTTGAACCATGACTGTGGCTCTTCTGCCAGATCAACGAAGTGTCAAGTATCAATTGTGGCCTAGAAATGAGCTGGTTTTGCGCATCGAACAAATTAGAAGGAGCTCATCGGAGTAGTAATCACTGTGGGCGACATCCACAAAAGTTGATGGTGGTGGCGGTGATCATGATTTGAACTGTGACTGTGGCTCTCGCTTATCCGCATTCTGCATCAATGATTAGTTCCAAGTATCGATTGTGGCCTAGAAATGCCTGAACAATAGGTTGATTCTGGCTTAAAAGCAAGCTTCAATCTGCACTTTCTTGTATTCAACGAGTTCACTTTTCTTTCCTAACAGTAGCATGGCCAATACTGCTGGTACCACAGTTGCACCAAAGACGCCCACTCACGGCGTCAACGCTGCCCCCACACTCAAGTCCACCCCAAATGCAGTTGGTTCTGCTGTTATCAGCGAACACATCAGTACTGTAGGCGTCCAGTACGTTGAATTTTGCTCTGGCCAATCGCACATGGACATTGACCTTCATGAATGCCTGCAGGATCTCGGATCTCCGCCCGTGGAACTCGCGAGATGTCGAGAACTTCAGGCAATGCGGCGCCGATGCAATGCTACAGGAGCTCCTAGATGGCTGCCAAGATACTTCTGTTCCTCCCATTGAGAAGTCGAAACTATTGAAAGATTCCCTCAACGCCGTTGTGAACCTCTGCAACAATGAGAAGATCAAAGAGCACGTCAAGGCTTTGTGAGTAGGCATTTCAAATCGTGTAAAAGTATATTAATGCCACCGTCCAGTGCCAAATGCACGACAGAACCAGCTTCTTACCCTCATTTTGTCAAAGCTGCCAATGCTGCGCTCCTTGAACTGCACAGCTTGAATGTGTCCGGACTGACGGCTCCGCGCAACAACGATACCGACATCCTATTTCATCATAACGACTACCCTATAAACCAAATGCATCAGGATCAAAAGGCGCAACGCAAACCTGATGTTGTTGTCGTCTCTTGCAACACCACTAAGGGCCTGTGGAAAGTTGAAGAGGTTAATAATGAAAAGTGTAAGGATGGCAGGGCCAAGAGCAGAAAGGCCAATGATGCAAAGGGAAATGGTAAGGATGGTAGGGGTAAGGATGCGACAGCTAAGGATGAGAGTAGTAAGAAGCGCCGGAGCCTTTACATGGAAACGGCGGCGCAGAAGCCCAACAGCCACTTCCAATGGTGCGATGTTCATTCGACATTCGAGTTCAAACGCAAGAAGGGTGCTCTGACTGCTCCACCTAAAACATACAAGGTGAAGGAATACATTGCCCCCAAACAGCAGTATCTTCCGAAGGACACGGACCCTGTTGAGCCAACAAGTTTGGCATCTAGGCCTGCCGCTGCAGGCTTCAATCAGCCATCCAATCAATGTAAGTCATCCAGAGCATCTACCTGTTGCGTCCTTGCTGACCCGCACGATTCAGCACGACGTGGGTCTGGGCAAGTCCAAAGTAAACAAGAAAAGAAATGTAGTTCCAATCATTTACCCTCCAACGAGCCTGCCAGCAAGCATGCCAAGAGCAACAACGAAACCGGTACCGAAGAGAAGGAGCCAAAAAAGCTTCCTCCTAACGTCCAAAATGGCATGTATGTCGCGGAGATGTTTGCTGCCAATATCGCGAGGCAGCACGTCAGCTCTTGTGTAGTGAACAGTAAGTTGACAGAATACTGCAAACCTCTTGTCGAATTGATTGTCCACACCAGATGACATCATTTACATGTGGTATTTTGATCAACAGGACGCCATCCAATGCGCCGGCATCAACTTTGTTCAGGACCTTCCCCGCTTCCTGGTCTTGCTGCTTGCTATGCAGCGAATGTCTTCCGAGCGATGGGGTTTGAACACGCAATTCAAAGAATCATGCGATATTGTCGTCGGCGGTGTTGACCTCAAATTTTATTTGACGTCTGACCAATGCATAACCCACTTCAGTCTGCGTGGCCGTGCAACCACTGTGTTTCCCGTGGAAAGCAAGGTGTTATCGGAACAACTACAGAAACGGGGAGAGGAACAGGGGCACTGTAACGACATCCCTAGCCACGAATTGGTTGCCAAGCTCTACTGGCCAGAAGAGGAGTGCAAGAGCGAGGCTGAGATACTCAAGAAGGTGTACGAGATTGCAACGAGCGAGCTAGATGTGAAGGGCCACGTCCCGGAGGTAGTTTGGTCCCACAAGTTCGAAGGGACATCCACGGCGAAAATCAGGACAGCGCTAGGACTGGACGATGCTCAACAAGGCAGCCATATCTTGTATATCATCATGTTCAAGAAGCTTATCCCGATCACAAAACTGAGCGGGGACGAGTTCCTCACTGCATGGTGGCAAATAGTGCATTGTAAGTGGTCTTTCATCTTGCGCTCGTTGCTGTCCATTAAGGATTGTGACACCAGGCCATTATGCCCTCTGGAAGAAGGGCATCCATCACTGTGACGTCAGTCCTAGCAATCTTATGGTATACAAGACCTCAGATGGTCGATATATTGGTGTCCTCAACAACTACGACTTGTCATCGATTCAAGGTAGTTCCCAGGGCAACGAGCATACAGGGATAGTGCCATTCATGTCAATCGACCTTCTCAAACCTGACGCCTTGAAAGGCAAGGTCGAGCACCTATACCGACACGATGCTGAATCGTTCATCTGGGTCCTCGTCTGGGTCTGTCTTCGGTATAACAAGGGCAAGCTCCTGACCACAGGCAGACCCCTTGATGAGTGGCTGAAAGTGGATGCTAATGGATGCAGGAAGGAGAAATCTGACTTTCTAGTTAGGTCTCAGAAGGAGCCCTTCCCCCTAACGCCCACGTTGTCGCACCAATCCAACTGGAATACTGCTCTATCTCTTCTAGATTGTCTCGTCCCAAGATGTGCACAGGCTAAAGTTGTGCTGGACAATCAGGCTATATTTGAGACGTGGTTCCAAACGAACCTCTCGTCGTATCTTATTAACTTGTAGTACAGAGTATCAATCTTGCGGAGGTTATGCAAATACATCCTTTCGAGACCCCCATCTGGTACTTAGGCTTCTTAGCACAAGAGAAAAATGTATTCATGCACTTGATTATGTGTCGGACTTATCATCGGCTCAAGATATTGAACGGGTGCGAAGGTACAGTATCATTCATGGCGATGGACCTGCTTGAGGAAGTGTTTGGAGGCAAATTCAAGCCTTTATACGAGCACAATGCTGAATCGCTCGTATGGGTTCTCACCTGGGTCTGTCTTCGGTATGAGGATGGCGAGCTCCTGACAAGGACAAACCGCTCAATGATTGGCTGAAAGTGGGCACTATTATATGCAGGAAGGAAGAGTCGTACTTCATAGTACGTGGGGCTCGGAAAATAAAGCCCTCGTTGTTGCACCAATCCAACTGCAAAATTGTGCTATTTGCCTTGGCTCTGCAAAGCGCTTGTAGATAACGTGATTCAGACGTGACTGAATCACATGATCAGCAATTTCTCAAACTTTGTGTGTGGCATGCCTCATCAGATTCACCCATTCCACCGCCATCCTCCGGAGGATCCCTCTCAAGTACTCCTACGTGAGACATCTTGCTATCATCGCTTTATCACTGCAATCTCTACCGTCTGTTCCCGGGGGCCGACACAAATCCCTTGTCCTGCATTCTACATACGTCAAGCAGTGCGCCATCCTGATTTCTGTGAGGGTCTATAATAGCGACTTTCAACGTAAGGGAAGGGTGGACACCACAAATGGATGGGAAGGACAGATCTATGACACATGAGGGGAAGTACATGACTGAGAGGTAGTTTACTCACCAAAAGGCTCATTTCCATGACGGAGCAGCTCATCCCATGACATTTCAAGTTTTCCGATGAGTTCTCCATCGCCTAGCATTCAACCAATCTCAAAGGATGCCCTGATCTCTACCGATAATGTAGGCGATGCATGCGATGATCTACAAACCGAGGTTCAGTTATCAAATCGTGTCCGCAAATCTTGAGGATTGCTTTACAGGGTCACGGTATCGTCCCACGCTACAGAATTGTTGGATGATGGGACATGGATGGCTGATTTCCAGTGTATCGTCTCGTCGATTTTGAAGGATACGTAAATGCCTGCGGGTATGCGGAAGGAGGGGACATAAAGATTGTTTCCGCTGATGACTGTAGATAGAGAGTGAAGATCACAAAAAAAATAACAAAGGAGTGACCCACCTTTAAGCATGATGACACGGTGAAGCAAATGGGAAGGAACACACAGAACCAAAGATGGGCTGGATTGTGGGCAGAATGTGGTACTAGGACTGGACGGAGGTATAGATATGGGGACTGTGGATGAGGTTCAGGTTCAGGGCGGATTTCCAAGCCGGCGTCTGTCCTTTAGGCAGTGAGCCTGAGGTGACGGAACTGTACCTCAATGATGTTGCTTGGTGCGTTTGTTGATCCGTCAACTTGGGCTCGGGAGGCAGCAAGATATGCAGTACTGTGCCATGAGCTCCAGTGGCAAATGAGGCCTTGAGGGGTGGGACGCCCAATCGGGATTCGACAGCATGCAATCAAATTGATGTATCGCACAACAAAAGATCAGATACATCAATTCTCTCGTTCTCGTTCATAGTGTACTTACTTAGCGTCAAATGTATTAAAATAGATGGGGATACGATCAGTACTTATGAGGTGTGGGGAGATGGCAACAGGCACAGAGAGATGGTGGGGAGCAGTAGCAAATGTCGATCCGCAGAAATCCCCACTCGGTCTTTCGGTAGGAGGGTTTATAATATTTGGTGAGGGTGAAACAGAATGCAGAGGGATCACAGGCAGTGCAGGACATGTGGGCTGGGGCTTGATGTGGTGACAAGTTATCCAGTACGCTACGCTTGCGGAGACGTTCAGCGTGCAATCGAACGTCGGACCGAATCAGCGGTCCGGTTCACCAAAAGTCCGGTTCGATCCGT